ACTCTTTACTGTTTTGTTTTTTTCTTTTTTATTATCAGATGTTTACGTCTATTCAGGCATTTTTTTGTTTTATGTTTGTTTTTTGTTTTTTTGCAATATCAGAACTCAGGACTAATGTTAAACCTGCTTCTTAATAACAAACTAATTATGTAAAAGAATAGTATTATTAACCCATAAAATCCTAAATAGACCTCTACTGGAACTTGGGCAGTTAAATGACCTTAAAGATGCACTCAGAAACATTTCTCAGCATTATTTTATTTTACATTAAGTTTACATCAGTTTTAAAATGTTAAGAATTATGCACACTAACATGAGATTTCACATTTCAGTGATTACCTCTTATCAGCCAAATACTAATTCATCTTTTAATTTCTCCTCATTAATATCTCTACAATTTTTGATGAAACATTTATTTATTTATTTATTTTATGGCTGAAATGTACATGAAAATCAAGACAATGTTCTTCTCAACATTTTGAGAAATGAAAGCAGAAATGAAGAGCCTCATTAGGAGCATTTAGGACATAAGAGAGTTCTCTGAATATGCCATTCCTTCAAAGATCAATTACATTTACATTTATACATTTACTTCTAATCAATTTTTTTTAGATAAAGAAAGAGTAAATATGCTCATCAGATGCTTTATTTGATTGTACAGGTATAATTTATTCTGTAACAATAAAGACTTACACCTTAAGAGTTTCCATTTCAACATTATCAAATATTTGATATGTACATTATTGTGAGCATGAGATAAACTTAAAAAATAATCTTTATTATCTCTATATTTCACACATTATTTTCAATCACCACTAACATTGCATAGTGTAAGATGCTCAAAAATGATCTTCATGTAAAGCACACTGAAAAATAAGTATCAGATTTGATGCTATATTTATGTCATTGTTGTTTTAAACTTTTAGAAATGAAACATCAAGGATTGTTAAAATGAGTATTGTGCATGATAGTTACATAAAGGGTGAATGCTCCATTATTAGTCCACTTGCAGTCAGTATGAGGATCTGAAATTTGAATAATTATTAATCATGTGATTGAGTTTGACAACTGAGTCTGAGTTATCAAATACACAATGAGAAACCTACCATCATTAATTGGGTACAAGGATCCTCCCTGTCAAAGCAAAAATAAATACATCTTACAAAATAAATATGCATGTACATGAATAATGTACACACTAATATCAATCTGAATGATTTAAATCTAAACTCACCTGATGCTTTCTTCTTGTAGTAAATGAGTCCAGCAGCTGCTAATACGATTCCCAGCACCAGACCAGAGGATCCAATAGCAATTTTATTCCTCTCAGACTCGGGAAGAGAGGGGTCTGTACACACATCACTTCACATTAATACAATATTTACAAATATAAGTGTGTTTCCGTAATAAGAGGACTATTAAATATTTTCTATTTGATCCTACATTGGCGTGTCCAAATATACCATTCACAAATGTAATACTAATATGAGAGTATCATCTCTTACCCCAGTCATAAATCATGGGTTTATTGAAGCTGGCGTGCTCCACCACACAGGAGATCTTCTCTCCAGATTTAGGAGTGTATTCCAGGTGGGAGTGAATCTGGTAGTACCAGTCTCCATCAGCCATCTCCATTGTGGAGGTCACTTCTGAGGTCACCTCTTTTCCATCTCTCAGCCAGGACACTTTGATGTGTTGAGGATAAAATTCATATGCGCTGCACATCAGTACAGCTGGATGTCTGCCACCAGCCCGCGTCACTGAACTGAGCTTAACCTTCGGTTTCACTGAATCAAGAAGAGTAACATCCTAAACACAGTTTCCAATGCATGTCTCATACTTATATGTGTGTGGGGGGGTGGGGGGGGGGTGGGGGGGGGGGGTGTATGGGGGGGGGTGGAGATTTAACAAAAGAACTACTTACTAAAGAAGCCGTAGAAATATTAATTATTTTTACTTAAAATGCATACCTTTCACATTAAAAGTATCATTTTTAAAATTTAAATAAAAAAAATAATTCATATTTAATATTAGCATATATGCTTCTGTAAAAATAACAGCAATGTTAAAAGCAAGAGTTATACGTGTGATAGTAAAGATCAGAGAAGAGTCTTGTGCCACTTACCTGCTTTATCACGGACAGTCGAGTCAAAGATTTGAGCATTATGTTTGCAGAATCTATCAACATCACCTATCTCTCCCTGCAGAATGCTGGAGTCATTGTTCCAGTACTCTGCATTTCTCATTCCATACTCACTAAACCCCACATACTTCTTTAGAGTGCTGTTGAACTGTGTGAATAGATATTTATTAAAATAAAAGCTATCAATATACACCATGTCACTGAGATCAGGGGAGCTGTAGATGCATCTTGACCAACGTGTTGTGTAATATTCATTAGCTGAAAAAGAATGCAGAAGCAGAACAATTGGTTTTGTCAAATAATTATGTAATCAAAATAGAAACAGAAGAACTTTGATACAGTACATCAGCCTATTCAAAAAGTACTTTTCAAGTAATATCTACTTTAAATAAGAGTCCAAAGAGTCGCCCTTTTTAAGGAAATGTTGCAATACTATAATGTAAATAATTTTACTTTTACTACTTCTGAAATTAATATAATTATTGTTGATATATAATTCTAGAATTGCAATACCTCTTATTTTACTTACCACTTTCTGCTAGAGTGAACACAGACAGTGTGAATATGAGATGACAACTGAAGAGCTTTAGCAGTGACATGTTCACTCACACTGAACTCCAGCTGAATGCTGCCAGTGCTTTGTTCATGTTCATAAGGATGTCTGAGATGACTGGCCAATCCGTCACTGCATGTGTAACTGTCAAGTGTTGCTAGGTAGTATCCTGCTTGCATTTTAAAACACAAACACTGTTAAGTGATCAATCGGAACAATCGTTATATCATTTAATGGCATTATTTAATGACTAAATTAAACAAAAGTAGTGTGCAAAAACTCATATATTCCTTAAAAATGATGTAGGCCTATATATTTTACATGAGGAACAGCACACTAAGATTATACACCTTGACAATACAACTGCCTTTTCCAAAACCAATCATGTTTTCTATTTTATTTATGAGCTGTTTAGTCAGAGCCTGTTCGCAGAACAAAGCGTAATGCAGTGATAAACTGGTAAGAAGACAAGATCCCTTTTTTAATGGATGTCAATGGAAATGTTTCAGTATAACTGAATAAACTTTTGTGTGAAAAGAAACCATTCAGTTTGGACTTTTACTTGCGGTCTGCATCAAATATAACTGTTTTATAAGAGAAGTCACAGGCAATTTAGCAAACAGTTATTATTCATTTTGCAACATTACCTGATCATTTCAGTGGTATCCACAAACTGTGATTGACTGTAAAACTCTGAAAGTGATTCAGTGACGTCAAAGCTATAATGTGATTGATTTATTATTTATTTTACATTCACCAACATGATCCAAGTTGGCCGTACACTTTCTGCAGTGATAGAGCCGTGGAGAAAGTTATGTTCTCATAAATGAAATGATCTCTGGTACTCCTACACATTTATAAAGAACAAATTAGCTTTGACCATGCTGGGAAATACGTGTTACAGTGTAATTAAGTACTGAGTAATACTAATTAACTGTACTTACTATAGGGTTATATTAGGGTTTAGGGTTAGTTGCATGTAATTATGCATAATTTATTACTACAGTAACTACATTAAAATGTGTAACAAGGACACTGTAAAAAGTGTTACCCAAATAAGTAGTGCTACCTTAACACTGAGATCAGTACTATTAATTAATAAAGAAGATATGCTTACTAATAGTATTGATTGTGGTAAGTAATAGTTAGCTAATCAATTTTGTTGTGCCTCATGAAGAACTACTACAAAATGTTAATTAATACAGGTTCAGGAAAAGTAACTATGAATTAACTACTCATTAATAAGCATACACAAAAAGATATTGAGCAGACCTTTGCCATTACTTTTACATTTGGTTAGTGGTTTCATACAGTCATTCTGTGTTGGAGTTTTGATCTTAAAACACTGTTCCAAAAATATAATTCTTCCAGATTTGTGTATTAATTACTAATGGGTTACCATTTTTTATACTTTTATAATATTTGTTAAACTTATTCCTTCAGTTTTGTTAAACCGAGGTCCTGACTCTCTGTGGTTATTAAAAATCCTATGGCACTTCTCATAGAGTCGGAGTGTAACCCCGGTGCCCCGGCCACATTCCCTCCAATGGCCCTTGCCAATCATGGCCTCCTAATAATCCCCATCCACTAAACTGGCTCTCTCACTCTCTCTCCTCTCCACCTGTAGCTGGTGTGTGGTGAGCGCACTGGCACCGTTGTACTGTGGCTGTTGTCACATCATCCACGTGGAAGGTTGAGGAGAGATTCCCTGATATGATTGAAAAGTGCTTTGGGTGTAGTACATAAGAAAGCACTATATAAATGCCTAATTTATTCATTCAGATTTGTGTTAACACAACTTTATTAATTGCTCATGGCTTACCAATATTTTCACTTTATAATACTGTTACAGATTATAAATAACTCTCCAGAGTATTGTAATAATGCATGAACTTTTCCGCTAGTTATAGTTTTCCACTATTTTAATAAAAATGTGGAAAACTCAGGCACATCACACTATCCAATAAAGGTGATTTAATGCCTTAAAAAGTAAGCATTTAGATGGTCTTTACAATGGGCTAAGGTTAGGTTCAGGGTTAGTACCTAGTTATTACCAAGGTATTATTATTACTATAATAAGTACATACAAAGTATGTACAGGACTGTAAAATAAAGTGCTACCACGTTTTATAAAAATTAGAGACCCATTTTCACAGACGTATCATATTTCTTAATGTAAAGTGTTTAATGAGGTTTTGCATAACATGAAATAAGCCTGATTTTACAGACACATATAAAAGAATGTAAGATATCTATTACATTGTTTTTATCAACAGAACACAGGAAGATAGTACAAACAGCCTTCAATTCTCATTTATTTGATGCATATCATAAAATACAAAGGGCATTATTTACTAATAGTAAATTGATTTTAATTCATTACAAAAATTACATCATAAATTCTACCTCATTTTCAAATGTATGTTTAATTTATATATGTTTTAATTTTACATGAAAGATTTAAATTCACCCAGAAGGAAACTACATCTAAAGGAAACATTGAGAAAGTGTTTTTAGTACAGTACTTATTATACAAATTGCAAAGTGATCTGTAAATGTAACATCCACTAACTTTTTTTTAATATTACAATTAAAGTCTTTTAAACCTTCCAAATTTTAGCATTTATCTATCTTTAACATTAACAATAGTTTTGTGCCATGAGTGACACACAAGTGCACAATAGCATTGTTTTTAAATTGCTTCGCTGCAATTCAATTAAGAGAGCTTCGCATAGTTTGCTTCCATGATTCAGTTGCAGTTGTTTCCTTTAACAAGGAAGAAGGTTCCCGTTGCGACTCCCAGCAGCCCAAGAGTCAGACCCACTCCACAGAACACAGCTGGACCAACACCTGGGAGAGCTACATCAACATCTAGAAAATGCAGGATATTTGAAGATGCATCAATATGATAACAGCTGAACAGATCATTTTAACAGAATGAAGAACTGGAAGAGTACAGAAATGTAGTGTCCATGCATTCACTCTGAAACTCACACTCACCCCATGTTTTGGTCTGAGGTTGACCCTGGAGGGCTCTGTGGTTCACAGTGCAGCTGTAAATGTCTCCTTCACCTGGTGTAAACTTAAGAGTGGAAAATATGTTAAAAGTACCACCATTCATTGGACGGTACTGGCTTAAACTCATGCCCTCTGTCACATTAACATTGTTCTTAGTCCATGAGATGCTGACAGATGGAGGATAGAAGCCAGTCACATGACAGATGAGGGTGTTCTGAAAACCCAGCTGCACATCATCCTCTGGATAGATGGAAGTCTCGGGTGCATCTAGAATAACAGATAACTATTCATTAATGCATTAGTTCATTCAAATAAATGTTGTAACTTTATTTCAATTATATAAACTTTTAAGGGAAAACTTGATGACACTAGATGCATGTTATATCCAGCAGCTAATTTCATTTCTTTTTCCAGGCAGATTAAGTATTGACATCATGATAACACTTTACATTAATGTTCCCTTTGGGTTTATTAATCACTATAAAAGTGAGTTTAGGATTATCATTACAGTAAAGAACATAAACACAACACCTATCAATCTCAATATAAGATTATATTTCTGCTGGATCATGGGATAAATTAGTTGGTTTTGATTAAAAAACCATGAATAAACATATTTATTAAGCTTTTATAACACAAATTTAAAATGGCTCACAGATATTGTGTAAAAGTTGACTTTTCTATTTATGTTATTAGATCAGCCTTACAATGATTTATGCATTTGTGAATATATTTTAGTCATTAATAAAGACCTAATAATGCTTTATCAAAGGGAACATACATGTAAGGTTTTACTCATTTCATATGTTTATGCAGTGTTGATATTCATTGAAAAATGTAAAAGTTCATAGCACATTCTCATGTCTTACCCATTTCTGGCGGCGGACTCTTGAAAGCTTTAATGTAAATGGCTAAACTACTTCTCAATATTGCCATATCTCCAACACTTCGTTCAAAAAATCCGGGAAATGACATAGGATCTCCAAAATCAGGTAATGTTTCTACTCCTTTCTTCTGATTAAAGTCAGCATGCCACAACTCCTCGTTATCAAATCCATACATTTTTTCTGCTTCCGTATCAGAGCATATTGTAATTGCGAAATCTTCATGAACAACTGAAAAAGATTGAGCATCATAAAACTTCATTCTCGGGGTTGACAATTGTGTTACATTGAATAGCTGAGAAAAAAAAATGCATATTTAAATTTATTGTTCATAAATTGGAAGGGCACATTATGTAGGCCTACTGCAGATATACATACAGTGGAGGGCTCAGGGCTACAGATCCCGCAGTTTTACCTTTGCTACTATTTGCCATGTAACAAGAAAGGAGTCATCAAATGAAGTTCACCGCAGTCGATCAGTAACATTCTCTTCCTCTATATCAGGCTAGGCCAAGTGATTCATTATTTAATTCATTCGTTAAGTATATTACCGGTAAATGTTTTTCAGTATTGTTTAATTTCTTTTTGCTATATGTTAATTACAGCCCAGGCTGATTACCTGTGGAAACATTTTTGCAAAAATAAGTTTTGCGACATTTTCAACCTACACTAAACCCTTATAACCGACAGTGTTAACAAAAGCAAATGTGACATAAAAACGCAATCGTAAACATGTCAATTTAGTTTGTTTTTTTAACTCTTGTCTTTGAGCTATTTTGTCGTATTTCACAGATTTCGTACCTGAGCTCTCCGCATCGTAAGTAGGCTAATTGTGCTTGAGCTACCAGCTGAGCTACTGAGCAAGCTTAGTATTGTACGTCAGTAAAGCCGGATGTATGGAGCTAGCTAAGTGATGCAAACTACAAAATGTATTTGTTTACAAATCATGCACTATGGTAAAAAGTGTTTTTTGGTCATAATATAATATTGTGCAAGGAGCTGTGTGAAAGCAAGTCTTTATTAATCCATAATCTGCCTTTGTCACGTTTTGAGTTTTTTTTTTATCTCTTTCTCGTTCTTGTTCTGTATGAGTTTCTTTGTTAAACTTCTAGTCTGTTAATTAGTTCAGTTCTTTTTCATTACCTGTTTGTTTCTGGTTACAGATTGATTTGAGTCCTCAGTTCAGGTGTTTGTTAATTATCTCGTCAGCTCCTTTGTTTGCCCTTCTACTTAAACCTTCACTTTCTGTTAGTCTCTGGTCTTGCATTGTTTTGTGTTAATGTGTTCATAGTTGAGTTTTCCTCCAGTTTATTGTTTTGAATTTGTGGATTAAAGATTATTTCATTAGCTACATCATCTTGTGCTTTCATCTCAGCCACCTACCAGTGACGGCCTTGTAATCATAATTTTGTATGAAAAGGATAAAAAGTGCTTGCTGTTTTACTGCCTTTACTGTTCATTTCTGTTGGAAACTGCAGTGATATGTATGTATTGCTACGTATTTTGCATTTTGCAAAAATGTTGCCACAGGTACCGTTTATCCATTGAGCCTGTGTTTATAAATTACTGTATCATATCGGTGAGGTTTTTATTTATTTTTAGTTTGTTTTGTATTTAATTAGTTTAATATTAATTTTATATATAATTAACTTGAATATTGTGCCTTTAATGTTACCAGAGTTTAATGTGTGTGTACGTTTAAATATGTTTTTAGGCTTCACTAGTTGTGATGCTTTGCTTTAACAGTTGATAGAGTTCTATACGGCTAATAAAAAGCTGTCCGAATGTGTTTGTCATTTGTGGTGCTAGCATAACTTTATTTTATGGTCAGTTTAATTAAATGCAATGTTTAGCATAGCCCTAATGTTGGTGTATTTTTTTCACAATTTCAACCAAGCAACCAATTGCAGTCACTGAAAATCACCCCGCTCCGTTAACGCAGTGAGAAGCACAGTGTCACGAGATGTGGCTGTATTAAAGCGCACAACGAATGACATATCTTCAGGAGACTTTTAATAGAACAATCCAAACAATAAAAAGGAGAATCAACAAGGAGAAACATACCACATACCCGTAATGTTAACTAAAGCTTGACCATGAACAGACAGAAGAGGGCTTATATACGTGGTAAACAAGGGGAGGAGACTGATTAACAAGACACACCTGAACTAATTAACTGATTAGAAGATATTAAACTCAGACATGAACAGAACAGGGAAACACATAAAAAAACAAACTAAACAAACCTAACCCTGACACACAGAGCTGAATTTGTGATTTTTATTTTATTTTTTTACTTTTTATATTTGAATATGGGTGTTTTATGTTTGATAATGTAATTGTTTTTTTTACAGTTGTAAGTGTTTTAATTAACATTTGTTATATGGCAATCATAAATTGTATTTCTTTTTCTTTTTTTATGGATGATGCATGATTGCCGATTACTGTTATTGAGAATGTTAGTGGCCTAGTGGGTTTTCCTAAGAGACGACTTCAATGTTAAATTGGGTTTGGTGTACTGAAGTGTTGGGTGATTGGATTGATTGTGATATTGTTTTCTTTGGTCTTTTTCTTTCTTTCTTTTCCAAATGACAACAGGTTTCCAATCATCTTATGTGTGGTTTAATCTCGTACGGTGGGGGGATAACTGATGGTTTAATTTAGTCTCACTTTGCTTTAGGATTTGTTCTAAGAGTTTGTTTCTTTGTGTGATTGAGGGTGTGCACCTCTTAACAGAGCCATTGCCAGTGTGCAGGATAAGGGAACCTTAAGGTCTGTTGTGTTGCTTGTTTCCTTTTCATCTTCAATCACTTCAGTAATGTTATTGTATTTTAATATTGCCTAATAAACCTTGTTACATTTGCAAAGAAAGACTGTTGTTGCCTTCAATGTCATCATTGTTGTCAGTGAGTCTGGCCAATAGTGAAATATCTGTGTAGTTATCAGCCTTCTGCTCTCGAATCGCTCTCGTACTTTGATGCCGTACTATTTAGCCAGATTTCGTTCGAAATTGTCACAAAAGTTAGTTCTTTGATTTCGCTTGTTAATTGGGACCTTTACGGCAGTGCTCACTAATGTACTCCACCAATTCAATTAATAAATTCAATATCAACAATTCAGTAACTTTCTTCTTGTGAATTTATTTGAGTGATGTGACATTATTAAGTGTGCAGAGTTAGCATGGACACAAAAAACACCCTCCTCTCTACTCCATACTACCATAAAACCATATACAGCCCCGTAGACTTGGGGTGTATATGGTGTGTTTTCTTTGAAAGTGAATCAATCGTTGATTGTCGATTTCTTTAGTTCGCTTGTAAATACGTTGTATGTAAATATGCCAAATTTTGTCATTCTGATATAGTCTCCTGTTTGTGTTTAGACAATGAGTTGAGGAAGTTTTGTTGTTTCTTTTTTTTTCAGACTTGTAACCCAAAGGTCGCGGGTTCAAGTGAAGGAACAGCACTCTCTTCCACTCTCCTTCTCCACAACTGAGGTGCTCTTGAGCAAGGCACCAAACCCCCAGGAAAAACAGCTGCCCACTGCTCCGGGTGTGTGGGTGTGTGTTTAATATTCACTGCTGTGTGTGTGCACTTGGATGGGTGAAATGCAGAGTACAAATTCCTTTCACTTTTACTTATTTAAATATTTCCTGCATTACTATTTAAATTTTTGTTTGTTGTTTTGGCTGTGCTCTTCCCCTGAAGTTATTGATCTCTTTTATTTCCTCTTTGTTCAGTTAAATTTGCATTTGTTTTGCATTTATCCGGTTGTTGTGTTGATTTTTGGGGCAAAATATCGATACATCCTGTTCCTCTCCGTTGATTGTCAATTTTCCATTAATAACTTTTATTTTGTTACTTGCTCCCAATCCTAGACGGGGAGTAATGCAAAATGCATCTTGCATTTTATTGCATTGCTATTTAATTAATTAAATTGTTAATTCATTGTTGAAATTACTATTTACAATTTAAGGAAGATTATTCAGTTTATATCATTAAAAGTTTTGTACAGAGAGTTTTGGAAATAATTTTTTACTTTAATTGTGGAAAAATAGTACCAAAGTGAGTAAAACATTTATAAACCAAATATTCTGAACATATGACAATAATCTGATGTCGGTAGTGTGAATAAAAACATTTACAACCCTAATAAATGCACAAACAGGTTTTGAATGAACAGTTAGCATTATTACAAGTGATCAGTTTGAAGTTTTCCCATTTACGCACTTATGAAAACAGTACCAAAATGATTAAAAAACTTTAACTTACATCCAGCATCAGTTGAGAGAACAACGGTAAGGGCAAGAATGATTATGGACAGCTCCATCTTGATAGAGAGTCAAACAAACATCAGACAGATATTTAACTTGAGGTGAAAGAAAGAAAGCGTTACTCCCTCTTTTAGGGCTTTTGCATCATCCAATCAAAGTTTTACTCACACTGTGACATTGCTGTATCTAGGTAGAATGAAAGTTTTTCCATTTTCAGTCCAGTCAGGCCGTCCTTATCCAATGTTACTCTATAAAACACATGCTGGGTTTATTATTTTCCCGTAACTTTTATTGTAAAATGCAAATGCAGTGTTGTTGTTTTTGTTATAATATGAGCCACTGGTTTTGAATGTATGTTGAAGAGTTTACAGCAAGGTCATTTGAAAACGAATCGGTTACCTAACGTAACCTCGGTTCTCTCTAGAAGAGGGAACGAGTATTGCGTAAGCTAGCTTACGCTGCGGGAAAGATTCATCTTTGCTGAGATATTGAAGCCAAAAAATTATTTCATAATTTTGTATCCATACACAACGCAGTTCCTCTGCGGCAGACCTAGAGCGGGCTAGCTAGCAGCTCATTGGTTCGCTCAGAGAGAACTGCTTAAGCCTATTGGAGAGCGGGGCTGAACCCGCTTTCAATGAGAGGCGCCCGCGCGCTCATTGCGTCATGACCCGCCAGAATGGGCGTGGCCATGGTGTATATAAGGCGCTCTCCCAGGCTTATATGTTGATTTATTTCAGCGTGAAGCGAAACGCTAGTAGCGCAAGCACGGCCGGGAACGCAATACTCGTTCCCTCTTCTAGAGAGAACCGAGGTTACGTTAGGTAACCGATTCGTTCTCTTACGAGAGGTTCTCTCGTATTGCGTAAGCTAGCTTACGCTGCGGGAACACCTGGCCAACGCCGTGCGCGCTACGAATCCACTCATGAAAAAAAACCCAGGGATATACCGGGGGAATTTTTAACGTGGAGTGAATGTACAAAGAGGCCGCAGAGCGGGCTCATGAAGTGTACACATAAGCATGTATGGGGCCAGCAGAGCGGGCACATGAAGTGTATAAGCATTACAGGAGAGCACAAGGGGCGAACCGGTTGTGAGGGACCTCCAGAAATGCAGCTTCTTAGAGAGCTGTTCGTCAGACAGCTAGTAATTTTGCCTGCAAGGCGGGAACTTCCAAGTTATAAAACCTGACAAAAGTGGACGGGGAGGCCCATCCCGCGGCCACACAAATGTCATGAATGGAAATTCCACAGGACCATGCCCACGATGAGGCCATGCCTCTAGTGGAGTGCGCCCTGATGCCCAGAGGGCAGGGCAGGCATTTAGATGCGTAAGCAGAGGCGATAGCGTCCACTATCCATCTAGACAGTGTCTGTTTTGAGGCGGCCAGACCCTTGGTGCGCCCCCCAAACGACACGAAAAGCTGCTCAGCGCGTCTGAACGCGGCAGCGCGCGTAGTGTACAATCTCAGAGCCCGCACCGGACAAAGGAGATTGGCATCGCGCTCACTATCGGATGAAGGCAGAGCCGATAGGGAGATAATCTGAGCCCTGAACGGGGTACCAATCGCCTTCGGGACATAGCCATGCCTAGGTTTGAGAATGACAATCGAATCATTCGGTCCAAACTCAAGACACGCGGCGCTGGATGAGAGCGCGTGAAGATCCCCAACGCGTTTAACTGAGGACAGAGCCGTCAGGAAAACGGTTTTGAGCGAGAGGTATTTCAGATCCACAGACTCGAGCGGTTCGAACGGGGGTGCTTTCATAGCTTCAAGGACTATAGAAAGATCCCAAACCGGAACCGACGGGGGCCGCGGAGGGTTCATCCTCTTAGCTCCCCTGAGGAAGCGGATGACTAACTCGTCTTTGCCCAATGACTGAGCGCGTCGGGGTTCCGCGAACGCCGCGACGGCTGCCACATAAACCTTGAGAGTGGAGGGGGACCTGCCCTTGTCCAGCATCTCTTGAAGGAAAACAAGCAAAGACGGCACCTCGCACGACCGTGGGTCCAGCTGTTTGTCGGTGCACCATTTTGAGAACACAGACCATTTAGACGCATAGAGCCTTCTCGTGGAAGGTGCTCTAGCCTGTATGATAGTGTTTCTTACTCCCTCTGGCAAATCAACGAATAGTCGTTGATCACCCATGCATGTAGCGCCCAGCGCTGTGGATGGGGGTGCCAGATCGTGCCGCGAGCTTGAGAGAGGAGATCTGCTCTGACTGGGATGGGCCACGGGGCTGTCTGTGACAGCTGCGTGAGCTCCGGAACCCAATTCTGACTCTCCCAACGCGGGGCTATGAGGAGCACCGAGTGGCGTGTGTCCCTGATCCTCTGAATTACCTGTGGTAACAGAGCGATCGGAGGGAATGCATAGAGCGGGCGGCGAGGCCATTCCTGGGCTAGCGCGTCCTCGCTCTTCGAGAAATATATTGGGCAGTGAGCGTTCTCTTCTGACGCGAAGAGGTCTACTTCTGTTCTGCCGAATAGTCGCCACAGTAACTGGACCGTCTGTGAGTTCAGGGACCATTCTCCTGTGGAGATGAGGTTCCTGGACAGTATGTCTGGACCGTCGTTCAGATGGCCCGGCACGTGCGTCGCTCTGAGCGAGAGCAGGCGGCTCTGAGACCAAACTAGAATGCGGTGCGTCAGTCGGCAGAGATTTCTGGATCTGACACCGCCCTGACGGTTGAGATAGGAGACCACGGCCATATTGTCCGAACGGATCAGGACGTGGTGTCCCTGGATGCGCGGGAGAAAGTGCGAGAGCGCGTTCTCGACCGCCAGCATTTCCAGACAGTTTATGTGTAATGGGCTTTCCTGAATCGACCAGTGGCCGAAGGCCGGTGAGCCCTCGCAGACTGCACCCCAACCCGTGTTGGATGCATCTGTCGAGATGACTTTTCGGCAGGAAAAGGTCCCCATCGTGACGCCTAGACGAAACCATTCTGCTACTGTCCATGGCTGCAGCGCCGTGAGACACGTTTGCGTAACCCTGATCAGCTGGCGACCCGTGTTCCACGCGCGGTGGGGTACACGGCTGTTCAACCAGAACTGAAGCGGGCGCATGTGCAGAAGGCCCAGCTGAAGTACAGCGGAGGCTGAGGCCATGTAACCCAGCATCCTCTGAAAAGTTTTCAGAGGCCTGCGGGTGCCCATCTGGAACGAGGCGGCTAGACGCTGAACACTGCGCGCGCGCTGTGTAGACAGGCGAGCCGTCATCGTGACCGAGTCCAAATCTATTCCTAGGAAGGAAATCGATTGACTGGGATGAAGGGAGCTCTTTGTCCAATTGACAGAGAGGCCCAGCGTTTCCAAATGGTCGAGGAGAACTGCGCGGTGCGACAGAAGCTCCGTCTGTGATTGGGCCAAAATCAGCCAGTCGTCCAGATAATTCAGAATGCGCAGCCCCTGGCTTCGCAGGGGGGCGAGCGCCGTATCCATGCACTTCGTGAATGTACGGGGCGCCAGAGATAAGCCGAACGGGAGAACGGCGTATTGATAAACAAGACCCTCGAAGGCGAAACGTAAGAATGGCCTGTGACGGGGATTTATCTGGATCTGAAAATAGGCGTCTTTCAGGTCTAGAGATATGAACCAGTCCCCCTGGCGCACCTGCGCGAGGAGTTTCCTGGTAGTGAGCATCTTGAACGGTCTCTTTATGAGCGCTTTGTTCAAAGACCTGAGATCTAAGATCGGTCTGAGGCCGCCGTCTTTCTTGGGAACCAGAAAATAACGGCCGTAAAACCCCGACTCGGTCATAGATGGCGGGACTCTCTCTATCGCGCCCTTTTGCAACAGCGTCGCAATTTCTGAGCGGAGCGTGCCGGCGGCCAGCGGGCTGACAGAAGATTCGAGCTGCGCGCGCGCACGAGGCGGGCGGCGGCGAAACTGTAGCAGGTAGCCGTTCTTTATAATGCTTAACACCCACGGGGAAATGCCTGGAATGGCTTCCCACGCTTTGGAGCATGCGGCTAGTGGCCGAATGGCTGTATTGCCCTGATTGCTGCACATAGCGGGCTGGACACAGTGTGTGGGCGCGCTTTGAATGTGTGTGGCAACGGGATTTGCACTCAGAGAGGAGTCTATGGGCCGTGACACAGAGCGAGCAGAGAGGGGACACGTGCACGAGCTCGTGGGCGTGTTTATGTTCTCTGATATTAGAGCGGGCTGTGCCCGTTTCATGTGATGGGGCTCTGATAGAGACACGGGATATGTTATGCTTGTGTGTATGGGTGAACACATGATTGTGGGCACATTTTCTACACAACTGGCAAAATTTCTCTTTTTGAGATTTCTCTGGGTAGCCGTAAAAACGGCTTTTTGTCGCTCGCAAGCGGGCTGGGACACCGGCTTGTTTGTGGCGGTCAACACTACAGCAGTCGGCGAAATAACGGGGACTGGCAGAGGGCGAAGCTTTGACGGCGGTCCGGCCGCAGCGGGAGAGCACCGTCGTTTTCTTGACATTGTTAGGCAGACTTCTGATGATCAGGCTTCAGCGTGATCTTAGGTCGCGGGCCACGGGGGGGCGGCGGTCTGCGGCGGCTGTCAGAGCGAGAGCGAGGGCGAGGGCGGCCGCTCTGACTGCGCTGAGTTGTTTGAGTCTGCGGAGGGGGGCGCTGTGATGGGGCTCTGGCGGAGGGCTCGTGAGAGCGGCCCGCTGAAGAGCTAGCGCGGCGGGGTAGAAACAAGTTCATCGCCTGAGTAGCTTTCTGTACTTCAGAAAAGCGATCGACAATTCCCGTGACGGCAGATCCAAACAGGCCCGTCGGGGAGAGGGGCGCGTTGAGAAACGCGGCGCGCTCAGAATCTCCCATGTCGGCGAGCGTGAGCCATAAGTGTCTCTCAGCAACACAAAGGCTGGCCATGCATTTCCCCAGAGCTTGTGCGGCGGCTTTAGTGGCGCGAAGGGCGAGATCCGTAGCACTTCTCAAATCCGTGACGGCGGGGGGGGTTTTTCTACCGCCTTCGGCCCATTCACGGAGAATATCGCTCTGTAACACTTGGAGGACAGACATAGAGTGAAGCGCAGCGGCGGCCTGACCGGCGGCGGCGTAAGCGCGAGCATGAAAGCTCGAGGTCGCTCTGCAAGCTTTCGAAGGAAGCGTGGGT